TTTAAAAGTCACAAAAAATGTCCTCTATCCTTCATTTATACTCTACAAGTTATTATATCACCTAAGCCCCATTAAATGTTTAGCTAATTTAAATGATTGGTACCATAAAGTACAGTCTTGTAAATGGATGAGTGTTTTCAGAGATCCAGAGGAGATGAGAAGGTATAGAGATGTGACTGTACAGTCATGTAGAAGATGCAAAAGTTAACATATTTATTAACATTTGCATAAAAGAATATGTCATGAAACTGCAGCTATATCTGCCTTTTACATCTGCAGGTAAAATTAGATCGCCTGGGAGTGGACAACAGCAGCATCCAAATAATTAGAGTTCAAACAAACATATTCAATTTTTCTCACTAGTGACAGTCCCCAGGCCCATCCTGCACAAGTAAGAATAGAATTTGTAAACACTTATCCAAATGGATTTTTCTAATGCATTCTGTAACATTATACAAGGACTCCTTAATGTGCCAAGATCACAACTCAGAATGCAGGCCTCAACAGGGCAAAATATACTGTTAATTCCTCCTCAGTTCTAGGAAACCAGTGACTGTGTGGTAATTGCCCTGTTTTCCAGGCACTTTTACAAACTAAAATCCTTTCAGATCTCATGTTCAGATTTTCCTTTTTGATCACTAATATGGAAACTGACCCCTGGACAAGAGCTATCATACTCCTTTTGTGCTAAATGACTTCAAAGCCAAGACATTTAATATGCCAGTGTCATCTCTCTAGTGATGGATGCAGCTGGACATAGAAGAGATCTTTCCTATTCTGTGAGGTTCCTATTTAGCAAGCTGATTTAGTCTAGTCTAATGAAAGATGTTTTGTAATGGATGCCAAATACTCATTGGTACTCATTGGTGCTCCTGGGGAAGGGAAAGAAGTACAGTTTTTAAACAAGACCCACAAGAGTGGCACCAGATGACTGGAGCTGTCCTGGGACAGTTACAAGCTGCTTTAAGACTTGAAGAAAAATCAAAAGACATTTTTTGTCTGCATTTGCCTCTTCCCTTCACTGCACAGCAAGATACCCAAATTCTCAATTAGAGACTGGCTGGAGTACAACCAAGTGCATTTCTCCAACTCCTAAAGTATAATAAATATCAACAAACACATAACAAAACATGACCAGCTGACACCACTCATTCCCAGAGCTCTGGGCATCTGTTTTTTCCTTTGTATCCATAATCACTGCCCCCCAGCTTGACTTTTGCTCCCAGCAGAGCTTCCTTAAAAAAACAGTCCTCAAAACCTTTTTCTTTCAATTTTTTCTCTTTCCATATCAAATACTATCTGAAAACGTTTATTTCCTAGCCTTCCTTCTCAAAGAAATAGAAGACCCTGTGTGGCAGAGTTGACTTGATAACTATTACTTAACCCATCAAAGCAAATGGGTTGACACATATAACCCATTGTTTGAGGATAAAATGCACCAACAGGCACCACACAAAACAATGCTGGTTTGTCCTACTTTGAATCCAAAATAGAAAAAGCCTTTCTTTTGCTAGTATATGTTTTTCAAAGCTGATTAATGGTGAAATATCAGGAAATTATTAACACTTTTTTTATTATTATTAAAGTAATTCAAAGAAGTGAAATGCTACATGTCAAACTATTGATACATGCCATATGTCTTAAATATTCACAAAAGACTTTTTTCAGAATTTATCTTCAACAGCCATTTAAGTACACAGCTGTGAAAAAAGAGTTCATCTGTGATAGTGCATCATTGTTGACTTTGAAAACTTTGTATTATCCCCTAACTTATTGTTAAAAATATGTAAAATGCCCTTAAACTCTAATTTCTATTTTTACCTAGTTCATGTTTCTTCAGTCTATGAACTACAAAACAATAACAAAATAGAGCAGTGATGGCTTTTTTTTTTCCAGTAACTACAGAAACATCAAAATCATTACGTTGATAAATAATTGCAATTCTATGCCAAGTTTTTTGGCCCATCAATCCCACTATCCCAAGGACAACTGGATGCTCCCAGGACAACTGGAGTTATACAACTGGAGTTTCCTCCACACCACTATTTTTCTCTACACCTCTACTTTGAATGTTTGACAGTATTTGGCAGCTGCCTGGGACAACTCCAAAAACCACCTTGTCTCAGATCACAGCAGATTTGACTGAAGGAAAGTCTTCAAAATGAACATGCACAACCACAAGTGAAAAATGCCTACACTTAGAAACACCAGACCAGTGTTCAAAAGTCACAGTAAAAACAGCTCAATGTTAATAGCTGAGCAGCACTTTTAAAACTCTTTCTTTGCTCATCTTAAAATGGAGAAAAGGCAGAAGTATAATTTCAGACAACTTATTAAAAGAAATAGTTTTAAAAGAATATTTCAGATTATTTTATCTTCACATTCTAGACATTTCTGGAGTTAAAATTTAGCAGGAACTGTATCAAATATAGGGGGGTTTAAATATGAAAATTACAGAATGATCTTGAACATAAATATTCTGCAAGGTATATATTCTTGTTTCAAAACACATTTCAAGCATAAATTATCTCTATCATGTTTGACTACAAACCCCCGAAATACCTTAGCAAAATTTATAGTTTTTATAGCATATATTCTATCCTAACAGCAAACATACTATTAAAAATATCATGACAGAATATGCAAATAAGTTGGAATAACCTCCTCTCTTGTGCTGTGCACAGCTCAGCAAAGACACAGTTCACTAGTTCACGTGGTTTTGTAGTAGAAAAATATTTAGTTTTTTATTATTGTTTAAGAATGTGTGTGAACAAAGAACAAGGACAGTGTTTACTTAGATTAAACACCATGCTATGAAAAGGTTAAACGAGGAGTACAGTCTTTGGATGGGATTCACTTCACTGAACTGTACTGAAGTTAAGCAAAAGAGGCAACTAGATAGAATTGAGTAGGGAAGGATAGGAATCTTCAAAAGATCATTTTCTCTAACTTTCGAACAGCTATTTTAAGAGGCTATGAAACAAGATTAAATTTGCAGTCCAGCATCTCATGTTTAGTAATGATCTACAGCAGTAGATTGTGCTTATTTGATCCACCACCATCCTCCTCACTGCCCATTCCCACACACAAAGAATGTGGGTTTGCTGGAAATTCTTCTGTTTCTTCTTCTTCCCCAATATGAGTGTGAAATATCTTTTTCCTGAAATTTAGGGTTCCCTCAGACCTTATAATCTTTTTTTTTCCAGAAACATCTTCTGGAAGTGATGTTCTTCCAGTTTTTCTGGTCATTTTAAGTGACAGCCATACAGGCCTAAGATGCTCCAAGTGTTGTCTCTCAGGAAGAGGCTTAGACTGATTTTCAAAAAAAACCCCAGTTTACTAGCCAGAAAAACATGACTTGGAGCTAAATAAAACCTAGAATACAGAGGGGGAAAAAAAAGCCACATATACACTGGGACCGATTCTAAATCTAAGTTAGTTGACCATGACTCTAATAAAAAATAAACCTGAAAGAGCCCTGACACATATTCACACTTATCTTCTCAATCCTCCCCTCCTTGTCATCCCCCCTTTTGGGCTGTCATTCAAAGCACTCTGTTTCCAACAGAATAACCCCCTTCCAAACTACTGACAATCCAGTGCATAAACAGAGTATTTCTTCATTATGGCAACTTTCCAAGTAAGGACTATGAGATCATCATACAATTGTTTTTACCACAGAACAATAACAATGGAGTACCACTATACAATAATTATTACAAAGCAGAAGTGGGAAAAAAAGAGAAGCCATACTATTCTCTCCTGATATTTTTCTCAGCACTTAAAAACCTCAGAATCTCAGGCTGAGCCCTTATTAATGAACAAATAACTAGAAAACTAAGCATAGTGCTACCAGAAGTACATTAAAAATGTTTATTGCTGTGGTATTTTCCTCCTGCTATTTTATGAAGATTTCTGGTAAAGAGCAACCTGATCAATCTCTAAATAGCTGACAAAGCAAATTAGAGCAACTCAGGATTTGCAACAAAGCAGAAAGTGCATTACTCACCCTTGCTCAATGGATTCAACTCCTTTTCGAGCCCAGCATTGGGACAAACAGCATCCAGGGAAAGGGCAGCTCTTCACCAATGCACAGTTTTAAGTTTCAGTGTTTGTCACACTAAGGAGGTTTCTGGGGCAAGAGCTCTCACTGACTTTAAGTGCTGCACCCATCACTTGTCACTACAGGCACATCAGGGATCTACAACCAGTTTTCTCTTCAGAGCAAGCTTTTCTCTCAGTGGTCATGAGTTTGCTATGCAGCAGTCAGCTTCTAAATGTATATTTGTCACAGGCTAAACTTAATACGCCTTTGTCCAGCCCTAAAAATTCCCTGAAAGCCTGATTTATCACACAGCTTTCCATGTGCTGTGCAGGGGAACTGCAGGGCAATACAGCAGACAGTAAGCATCACACTCTGCAGGAGTAATTGAAAAGCACAAGCTGCCAAACAGCCTAAGTCCTAAGAATCCAAGCAATCACTGACCTTCATAAATCTTTAAACTTGCCCCTAACTGCACATAAAGCATTTTTCTACTGATTACTGTCATGTGTTATGCAATTATCACTATGCATTCTATGTTGGCTGAATATTTTATCCAAGTGCTAGGTGAATGTACTAACTCAATCAGTAGACCAGGTTGTCCAGAGCTCCACCCAACCTGGCTTTGAACACTCCCAGGGATGGGGCATCCACAGCTTCTTTGGGCAACCTGTTTCAATATCTCACCACTCACACTGTAAAAAATTACTTCTTCATATCTAATCTCAATCCACCCTCTTTCAGTTTTCTCTGCCTCTATCACATACTGAGGTGAAGTTTTTCAGACACTGCAAGAGGTGTTGCACACTTACGCTGTATCAGGTCCCAGCCCAGATGCACCCAGCTGAGATTCCCCCCCTCAGCTGGAAATACCTCTTTTTGACACTTGCCTGTACCCCATACATCATTTTCACGATGGTGCCAAACTGACAGACTAAACAAACTTAAACCCACTTACCCTCATATAGGCCTTTCTCCTTCAAAATCTTCCATTGCTGAACTCCCTCTTCATAGGAAAAGTTGCATTACTTCCTAAGCTGAGGCTGTAGCACCATCCAGTTTCAGGCATTCAGCACTGATGCCACAGTCAGGTGCCCAGGCTCTGTTAACAGTCAAGACAGAAAGCAGGAGTTGGGTGCCTAATTAAAAATCTGCCCCTTTCCACTGATTACATAAGAGCTCAGACTGTCATACTGCTAATTTTGATGCCAAGGTTAAACTGGGTAAGAGAATTCATGACAATGTGTGGCCTGACACGTTGCTGGGTTGAATTCCATCCCTTTAGTATTATCTAGTTGTCCAATTAACTATTTAGTCACTCCATCTAATACTGTGCACTAGAAATTAACGTCTCCCTCCAGTCCACAAGTTTCAGCAGCCTGCTTTCAGTACAGCATGCCAACAATATCAACTCCAGGAAAAACCAAAACCAACCAAATAAAAAAGCCTCAAGAAAACTAAACAAACCAACTCCCAGAGAATAATTTGTCATATATATCAATCTCCTTCTTTCTCTCCCATGGCAATTCTTTTGTGTGCATTTATAGGTCTTACTCCAGCTTGAACAGTATTTTTGATGCAACACCATGTTAAATGGCTCAGTAGAATCCAGAGAGACCAGATCTAACCCATTTATATTTCTAGAAAACCTAATTTCTTATTAAAAAAAGATACTAGGCCAGTTTGACATGACCTATCTTAGAAAAATAGATTGTGTTTCATCCTCCCTCCACTCAATTCCCCTATCTTTAATTATTTATTCTTTTTTAAAAAAATCTAAGCCTATTAGGGTCAAATTAACAAGTCTGAAGTTGCCTAGATCATATTTTCCATATATGTAAAATTCAACAGTATGAGTAATAAAAATCCTCTGAAAATTCTTAGCAATGGATCTATATTTCAAACACACATATAAAAAGTACGTTGAAGAAATTCCCAAATTGGAAACTCCCAATGGAACAACTTAAAAAGCCATTCTGACAGCCAGAAAGTCTGATTGATTTTAAAATATTGGAGATGAAAAAACTGGATGCTTCATCTCAGAAATCATGAGTAAAACACCCAAGACTTCCTGAAACCTCCTCAGACCACAAAAAACAGGATATAGCTAAAGCCCGTGTATAACTTTATATGTGTTGGACTCAATGATCTTGGGGGTCTTTTCCAGTCTTAATCATTCTATGGGAAATCCCAGTGCAAATCTGGAATGTTTGTGTTACAAATAATTCTGTTACACAAGCCTCTAAGAGTCACACAGTACCTTAAATTGTCATTATTCAGTATAATTTCTTATATCCACAAACTGTTGAATATGTTCATGTAGGCTTTTCAGTTACTTGGGTCACTCAAGCATGCAACATCTGGAAAAGTTTCTGTCATAAGGCATAATTATTTTCTTGATAACATTCAAAAGCTTCTTAAAAGAATAAATACACTATTCATTACAAGAAAACTGTTAATATGCAGTAAGAATTTTTTTTTGTTTTTCTTTATCTTCTTGTTTTAGCATTCTGGTATCTCTACTGGCTTGACATAAAATGCAAAAAAAAAAAAACCTCCTTAAAAGAGCAAAACATTTCCTTAATTTGCAATTTTAAACTCTTTTTCTGACCCACATTTGCAGTTCTCTGCCTTGAGCTGCAGTAATCATCTTGTTAAAAGGTAATATTTGTATATGTTGCCTCCTTCAGACAAATTTGGCCTTAATTTTAATATAGTCACTTACTGATTCATTCTTCAAGCAGCAAAAGTGTGAGCTGTGCATCTTGGTGCTTTAGAAGTAGGTTTGTAGCTGCCTGCACATGTCACACAATAGTCAAAATAGGCAAGCAGTTGAGATTTCTTTTGAATATCATGGCTAAAAATGTTCAATTGTGCTAAATTAATAGCTATGGGGCATCTAATAGGAAGGGTAGAAGTGGGAGGGCAGGAACCGATCTCTTCTCTTTGGTGACCAGTGACAGAATTCCAAGGGAATTGCATGAAGCTGTGTTGGTAAGGTTAGGTTAGATATTAGGAAAAGGGTCTTCACCCAGGTGGGTTGGGTACTGGAACAGCTCCCCAGCATGGTCACAGCATCAAGCCTGACAGAGTTCAAGAAGCATTTGGACAACACCCTCAGGCACAAGGTGGGATTCTTGGGGCTGTCCTGTGCAGGATCAAGAGCTGGACTTGATGATCCTCGTGAGTTCCCTCCAGCTCAGGAGATTCTATGATCAAATAAATTCTAGTTCAGCAAGGTGACTCAGCTTAGGGGCAGCACATGAGCAAACACATAACTAAAAGCTTCAGTTCCACTGTAGCAAGCAGAAAAATTAAGATGTCTCCTGGTGTAGATTTTAAGACTGACCTGACTTTCTGGGAGACTTCAGATCATTGACAATTTCTCCTGACTTCACCAAGGGCTGCAGATCCTCAGTGCATACAAAGGACTTTTACTGAGATGTTTGACTACAGATTAAAGATATGAATTTGAAAATTTTCCCTGCCCCCCCAAGGTTATGAAAAATCCTGCACTAAAGCTAAAAATAACTATGAGTCTATTCTGCTATTTATTCTTCAGAGAGCAGCATGCTAGCAATGCCTCAGTCTGAAGCAAACTGCAGATTTTTTGTCTTTTATTGCAGTGTTTCAAGCTATTGCAGGCCATATGTATAGAGACCATACAGAGTGTTCACAAGGGTTTGTGCTGCACAGTCCAGACGTTTCGATGTGGGGAAGTCTTTACCTGATGACCCACACAGTCACTTTCTATCTTCCCACCTAAAGGGAAAATACTTATGGAAGTAGGAAATTATCCATATGCAGAGCTTCCAAGAATGAAAGTAGCATGGTAGGCAGCAGGTTTTGAAGGTTGGTTTAGATGGTTCAGATTAAGTGTTAATTATCTTATTATGTTTTAGTGAAACAATTATTGCTGAAACCCTAATTATTATTCTGTGGTAGTTAATCTATGTATCTCTCAAGGATAACACTGAGATTATTAATAATTAGGTACTGGACATTTTGTAATTTAAACATTGTAACAGCTTTATAACTAACATGCAAACACAAGAGTAAAATTAATGTTATTGAATTGAATGCAAGCTTGGACTGGATAAAGTTCCAAAGACTTTAAAGAGCTTGATGTAATAGTAGCATTTAATTCCATAAAAAGCTTGATTTTTGTGCTTGCACAGAACATAATATAGACAAAATATTTGTAAAAAGAGATAGAAGTCATAAAAAAGAACCAAAGTAATAGCCCACAGATCATTCTCATTTCCAGACACTTAAAACATTTGAAATTTTGCCTCTGCCTTCTCCCTCTGTGCCCTCTTCAGCTGTTCTCATTAGCTATGTGACATTATGTCCTCTTACCCTTCTTTCTTTCCCTCTCTCTGGATTCAGGCTCTATTCAATACCATTATGCCTTCATGTAACATATTATTCAAACTCAGTTTTTCATCTCTCTCTTCACTGCTAAAAGCCATGGTTAGCTCTGTGTACTAAAGCCAGCAGTCAGAAAACCCTCTAATGGAATACAGAATATTACAGAAAGGGCAAGTGCCACACATTATGCAATGACTGCACGTGTAGGTATTGCAATTCTTCATGCAACACTGGCATGGGACATGAATCGATCAAGCATTAACAAGAGGATGATGAATATTATGCTCTAAGAAACAAGATCACTGCCCATTTAACACAGCCATGCAGTCACACATGGCCCACTCTGCATTTATACTTTACAAACTGGAAAGAAGGAGAAAGGAATAAACTAGCAAATGCTGATAGTTTTTGCTAAAAAGCCCCCAAAGTGTAAAAGTAGATAGTAAATTTGCAGTAAAAGCTAACAACAATAACCATAAAGCAGCTTGCTGTGCTTATATTAATGATCACCCCTCCTTGGTCAGTCACCTGTGCTGTTTTTCCACTCATCATCTACACCAGTATAGACTTCAGCAGGGCACATTTTCTAGAGACGTCACCCAGAGAACTCACTGAAGAAAAAGCTATGACTTTTACTTAAAAAGAGTGTCATAACCCGTCTTATACACAACTAAGAAGCCTTAATCAAAAAAACTATGTGGAGCTTACCTATGCAACACAGAGTTTGACTTCTAATAAAGAAGACACTAAATCTACATCACTGGAAAGAAAATATTCACCAAAGTACCAAACAAACAGGCAAACAGAAGTGGTGGCATTGTCTTTTCCTTCTCTCCTATCTTCTCTCCAGATCTACTCTAACACAAAGTTTCAAGCAGGTAGTGCGATCTGACAAAAAATGGAGTGGGTTGCACAGCCAGGGCCGTATTTGAGAAACATTTAATTAGGATGATATGCTCTCCCTGTAGAGGAACCCCAAATGCTGGCTTTTAGCTTTATTATTATGGATTTCTCTGCAAGTGTGGAGACAGACCCCCACAGAGGAGAAGTCATAGCTGTCTTGGGGTAGAATAACAATTCTTTTTTAATTTCTTCAGCAAGAAACAGAACTGCATTTGATGGAGAGGAAGGCTTGCCTCAGGCATTTCTTTTCCAATGCAGACAATGATTATTAAAAAAAAGAAAGATACTATGAATGACAAGTATTACTGCAATTCCTTTTAAGTCATAATATAGCTGCAGGATCTGGCAATGCTAATTTGCTGCTGGCAACTTTATCCTGGCCTTCTTGGCATGGAGAAAGATCTGTAAGCGCATGCCTGATTCCTAAGTTGTTCTTCACTGAGCAGTTCAAGATGGCCAAAAGAAAAAAAATATACATAAGCCCCTAGAGCATCCTGTTGTGCAGTCTATTCCATTCTGCCCCAATTAAATAACTGAGTCCACGGTATCAACCATTTGCTTTTATTTCAGATGTAGGCACAGTCATGGCAGCACACCTCTCTAGACTTTTCAGTAATTGATTCTCAGTCTGCATTAAGACACACATTTAACAAAAGAAAAGTAATGCTGCAGGAGAAAGTGCATCTGCTGACTTGTCTGCTTGACCTTACAAACTGATCTCCCTGAGCAGGAGCAGGGGAATAATATCTCTGAGAAGTCAATACTGTTCGCCATTGACTCTACTCCACCATTCATTATTTGCTAAACTCTGTAAAAGGGCACTAAGGGCACTACATCAGGGACAAGGACACTGAAGTCCACCCTCAATTTCTGCATGCAATTGTAAGCATTACATTTGACCAAGAGTACTCTGTTACTCCTCTGACTACTTCCTACTCCCACATCAGCAAAACTTCCTCCCTCTACCAGAAGACTCATTTTATTAGTCTGCTTCATACTGCCTTGCAGTTCAGGCCACATCCCCTCATCTCATCAGTACATGTGGCCCAGCTTCTCTTACTCTCTGGAATACCAGAAGCAGCTGCTTAGCTCAAAACACAGCTGCTCTGCACAAAGGAAGCAAGAGGAGTCCTATGACTGAACTTTGCTTGGAAACCAGTGGCCAAGAGTCTTCTCCCTTCTGCTAACAGGAGCCCCTCCAGGACAGAGATTTCTCTCTCAGAGCCTAGTAATGTGACCATCATACTCTGCACCCTACCACACCACAGGACACAAAGCAGCTCTTTCACTGTGGAGAAGTAAATACTTGACAAATGTTTGTGAAGTGCCCAGGAGGGTTCACTTTCCATCCTGAAGGATGCTGCTGTATGCTCAATGACAGGCAGACCTGCCTTCTTCATCAACATCTCTGAATGTTTAAGGAGAAAAAGTAAAGAAAGACTGGTTTGTTCCTACGGTAGAAACAGGCAACAAATACTGGTCATTCAGCATAGGCTGTACTTGAACTCTCACAGACTTCTAGGAATACATAGTTTGTTCAAATGCAAACATATCATACTGTCACTAGCTATTGAACTTCCTTACCTTCTGTGGGCAATGCATCCAAATAAGAACAGAAAACCCCTGGCCAATATAATGAACTACTCACACTACAAACCTTAGGGTAAAAGCATGCCACTGGTACCAGAATGTCAGATTTTGTTAGTGCTTCATTATTTCCAAGGCTGAAAGTTCCTTTTGGATTTCTCTGCCTCTAATATATGATGAATCTTTGAATCCTTGCCTTCAGTGTAAACAGATCATCACACATTACAGTAGTACTCGCTAAAATTATCTTACCTTATTCCACCTTTCACAAACGAAATTCAGCATGTGTATCCAGTTCTGAAAGACACAAAAAGCACAAATTATTTCTGACTGAGTCAATCCATACAAACAAGCTAGTAGTATAGGATTTTTTATTTTTTGGGTGGGGGGGGAGGGCAGAGCAGGGCAGTAAGTAATAATTACAGGAACTAAACCCAACTAAAAATATGGAAAAATGCTGAGTGTTAACATTTTATAACATAGCTTCTCTATAATTTGAAACAAAATCATTCATTCAGTTTCACACCTTCACCTCTTTATTGACACTCAGAGAGCAAAGTCTGTACAACTGGGAGGTAGGAAATAACTATGAATCAAATTTTTTATCTTAAGGTCAAAACATGAACTTATCAAATCCAGTACAATTTTTAACCTGAAATATCGACCATTTTGCTTCAAGAGAGCATGTTAGAAATCTTTGAGTGTGGTACCACAAAACTGTGGCAAGTCAACAGGTTCCTATGTGGAGAAAATGCTTCTCTATTAAAATGTACACAAATGGCAACCATATAATATATACAGTGAGATTAAGAAAGGTAAATCCTTAATTCACAGAAAAATGCAGTCATAAGAAAAGCACTCAGCAAAACATTACATTCAGGAAAGATTCATATACAAAGCAGTGTTCAAATACGTGATGCAGTAATCAAGATGCAATTCATCATCTTACAGCAAAACTAACAAAGCAGAACCAGAACTGAAGAAGTTAAAAAGTACTAAGATAAAACAGCATACTACAGACTAACAAGAACTTTTGCTACCAATTGGGAGCTTATCAGCTGTGGGGAAAAAAAAAAACAAAACAACAAAACAAGAAGAAAGAAAGCCTTCGAGTCAGATAACACAGCCACAAAAAGGGAGGGACTTCACTGGGGTGTACCAGCCAATGTGCTCCTGTTGCTACAAGAAGCAGCAATGAAACTACGTCAGGAACACTTGCTACAGTAAGCTGAACATCATGCAGCTCAGGCTGCAGCATGTAGAGAAAGGCTTGTGCAGGCACGGACCAGCCGCCTTCTGCAAAGACACTGCTCAGCTCGCCAAAGGGGAAGCTGAGATGAGCTGCAATTCGCCCTTCAGAGATACATGACAAGGCCTTTCACCACTGAGGTGAGAAAAGTGTTAAGGTAAACAGAATGCTAACAAAGTAACAAATGTAAGCTGAATCATAGCAAGGAAGAAAGACTGTTTAGCCAAGGATAACCTTGTATTCTATATTATAGGAGTGTCACGCCAATGTTAAAACCAGATTTAACAACTCAGGAAACTGCATCCAGCCCTGTGCTTTTATGGACTCATAAGGAAAGCATCTAAAATTTCTTGCAAAATTATACCTCTTCATAGAAGTGGCCTGCAAAGCAGCTTAGGTTCTCTTTTCATTGTCCAAGGTGAAGGCAGAACAAACTCGATGTTCACGTCTATGACTGTCAGTTCAGATGAGAAGTTACAAAGCATTTAATTAACCCTGGCTTTTTGTCCTCCATGAGGAGAGAGACATTAACATTATATGGAGCTCTTTTCAGGATAAATGTGATATGAAAGTTATCAGAAAAAAAAGTAATATAGTATTCAAAATAATTTTTATATTGGCAAATTCAGTTCCAAAGTTCCAATTCAATATTCTTTATAACTTCAACTGCATTTATTTAGTATGGTTATTTTTTTCTTTTTCCACTCTAAAAGCAGGGCAAGTGCTGTGAAAGCCCCTAGATACCACGAAGGCTACTGTCAAGGCAAGTCATTGCCAGTCACAGTCACAAGATCAAGGATTTATACTGTGGACCTACTGCATTAATATCCTGTAGTATACTGTACCACCATTCACCTTCATGACATCTAATATAAAACTTAAAACTGGTCAGTTATTTATTTAATTTAAAGGAAGAAACTAAAATGGCAGAGATGATAAAGGAATATAAAAATTCTATTTACAATACTATGAGAAAAAACAGATTACTTCTATGGAGACAGGCAAATTCTTTTCAACTTTGTGGCTTAGCTCACATATCTGTAAAATAGAGACAATGAGACCTAGTAAATACATCGAGCTTCTTTGCTGCCAAGTCATATTCGTAACCTGTTCACTACCTTCAGCAAGTCACACCCACCCTGCAACACTGAGATTGGTGATGTGTTTTAAAATCAGCCATCAGTGAGACTTTTAAAAAAATATTTCAACTTCTGCAGAGAAGGCAAGACCTACCCCTACCAATCTCTCTGCAACTTCTGACCTCCTGCAAATGCCTTCCTGCTCTGCACCCCCTTCTGAAAGCAACTTTGGGTTTTCAACTACATTTCTAGAGACCGTCTTTAAGTCTTCCTCTCTGACACAGAATTTATAAATAGTGAGGCTTTTTCTCTCTCCAATCACTTATCCTTGCATCTCCTTACTACACAAAGTAAGGAGAACATAATTTCTCTATTAAATCTGCCACACCATTATACCAAAGTACTGCAGAAAGAGAAGTGCATGACACTATTTTCTGTAGAAAAAAATATAAGTGTGATAAAGACGAAACATAAAAATAACAGGGAGTATACATGCTGTCACTGGAAATCCCTCACTTTCTCCTCCATGTTCCCTTCTTCCTTCTTTCTGACTCACTGGATAGCAGCTAAATCATTCCAGGAAGGAAGGCACAACTAACGCTTTTCCTTTGCAATTAAATGTGGTGTCAACACCTCTGAAGGGTACCAGCAACCCATGACAGCAGGTGTGATTTTGTCTATTAGTTAATTAGGAAAAAACAGAGCTGCTTTGACTGAAGGTTAGCCTTGATAGTGTTTGTCCAGGTTCAGTCCAACATATGTGCTATTCCCTCAAGAGCTGTGCCAATCTAAACTACTGTCTCCCATTGCTTTTCCCCTCCTCATTTTTCCCCTCCTGTCTGTCAGCAAAACAGCACATGGTTGGTATTACCTAAACATCTTAAAAAAAAAAATCCAAATACACAACATTAAAAGCAAACAAAAAAACCAAAAAATACCACCCAACTCTACCACCTCACCCAACTTCTCTCCAGAATACTTGGACAGAAAAAAAGAGCAAAACAGAACACTTTGCAAAAGGTACAATGCAAAACCAAAGCTCCTTAACAAGCTTGGGATGGGGAAGGACTGTTTGCTGATAATACTGGCAAATGTGAGGAGCAAGAACCTCTGAGGATGAACCACATGACAGCACAGCTGCAAACTAATGCTAATTCAAAGCAAGTTGTTAGACCCAGTGTAGCTCAGAAGATATTTCCTGTAAACATATTTTAGAGGCTCAAGTTTCCAATAATCAGCCTACAAACACAGGCAGCGTGTTCATTTTCTAGCAGATAGAAGGTAGAAAATACTGTGTGCCTTGCTGTGCTGTCTGATCTCCTTTGCCTTGGGGCAAATAAAATACTGTATTGTCTAAACTCTCTTGCAACTCTTGCAATACGTTATTTCTTGGACTCTTTCTTCATTCCCCATTTTGAAATACCTGTTTACAGGAAACACAAGAATATAAAGAAGATAAACTCACTTCATTCTGAGCAAATAATTATTGTGATCAATATGGTACCTCTTTTTGCTATTACCATTACACCAAAATATACCCCCTCCAGAAAAAAAGTAAACATGCCTTGCCTTCATGTCACTTCCCCAAAATTATTTCAGATTCGTTTGCATTATGTATGCAACCTGTACTGTGCACATTATGTACACAACATTAAAATTTTATCTGTTCTCAGCTCCTGGTTGTGAAGAAATAAAACACGTCTGCAACTCTATCCCTTGGTTGCAGCAGTGCTTTAACATTCTTAATGCTAGGCTGTTTTTCTGGAGTCACAACTTGTCGGGCAGAAACACAATTTACTTTTGCTCTGCACCTGATTTTTATGAAAAGAAAATCATAGAACACAGCAATACCTCTCCAGGTTGAACACAAAGAGTCAGAACCCAGAGCATGACCCAACATTAGGTCCATTCCTCAACACTGTCAAATACACACCTCCACAAAGTCAGCCTAGATAAAGAGTCCAGTTCAGCAAAAGGGGAAGCCAGGAAGAGAAATTACAAAAGACAGCCTCAAGGTCAAAGGGGTTTGCACAAGTAGATCCTGTATTTCATATTCTATTTTACATACTAAAGAGAAGACATTTTCATTTCACAAGCATTACTGACCCAACCATTTGCAATGTGATGAGGTGACACCCAGGACCACTGTGCACCAACTTGTGAACAATTTTGTAGTAGTGTTGATAGTAAATGAATGGTGTCCAGTATCTAAAATTCTTACTCTCTTCTTTAATCTATTCTATCATTGTCACAGTAAGACACATTTTACTTAGCTACCAAATGCCCATAATGCCTCTCCCTTTTTTTATCATGGGACACAATGTTTTCAAGCTAGATAATATTTCATGGTAAAACTAAACATCCAAGAAACAATGGCCAGAAATTATCTTCATGCTGTGTAATCGATACTTTTCTAAGGATGTTCAGTATAACACAAATTCCCAAGATGCTGAGACATTAAGATGGGTTTTCCTTATTGCACTGACCTCTTGTAATGTTCATTTTATGACCCCCCAAATGCAGCTTGACAGCTCATGTAAATGGGAATATTGGTACTTCAGCCATGAAACATATAGTACAATATGGAAAAATCTAGGCTGCATTATTACTTTTCATATAAATAGTCATGTTTACTGTGAAGGCTGTTTTCCAGAAATGTGAATCACAAAGGAACAGGGGAAAAAATCCAAACTCTAGGGAAGTTGGGAAAGATGTCATACTTTCAAAAAATATATGCTGCACACTGTAACATTCTTCCTTCATCAGTTACCACAGCCCTCCCAAATGCCTATTTGACACATACCTTCTTAACAATCTTTTAGATGCCTACAAATGCTGCTAGTGACAATAAAGCACTATGCTAGGAAGAAAAAGCTCTTCTCATTTATCCTGGATACTTGCTCATGACTGGAAGGGGGATCAAATCTTCACACAAATTGAGTCAAATTACAAGAGTTCTTGACTCCTAC